GTAACTCAGGTGGGGACACCAGCTGGTGACATCTGTTGAGCACTCAGCAGTGCCTCTCATCCTTGCCTCTTCTCTTCAACAGAGGAGGAGACATGCCAGTGTCATCCCCGTCATGGTCATGAAACAGGCTGAGAGGGACAGCCACCTGCTCAAGCCCACACAGCTCTTCCCCGGCAGAGCAGAGGGTGGGAGCCACAGACCAGCCACGGCCGCTTCAGCCGGCACAGGAGCAGACTCCACCAGGGTCAGCATGTCTGCTGAGGACCGAGCCACTTGCTCATCACACACGTCCACCCAGGCTGGAGCCATCAGCTGGCCACCGTGCCTTGTGCTCGCCAACCCACCCAGGAGATGGGAGATGCCATCTCTAGCTCCTCCCCATCCTGATGCTGCCCCTGGGTCAGTGGGGCCTCTGCCCTCATCGCCCTTTAGCCTCCAGGGGGCTGGGACCACCCATCCCATAAGACATGGGGGGGCCCGGGAGCCACAGAACCTTGGCGCTCCTCACCCGGGTCCCGGGGGCAAGGCCAGGCCTGAGCGGAGCCTGGGTAGTGATGGCTCCCTGGTGGCACTGTCACTGACCCTCTGAGAAGCCTGTAGTCCATCACAAGGACGAGGACTAAGGCCTGGCTTTGGAGAGCGTCCTGGCGAGGCTAAAACCTGCCAAAAGGCGGAGGGAGGGGGAGGCTGCCCGCCGCAGATCAGGGCCTGCTGATGTACGTGGTGACCAGCATCCCCAACAGAGCCACTCCAAACAACCAGTTATGGTTTCTCACAGTTCTGCAGATGGGGCTCAGCTCCGCGGTTGTCCTCGGGTAGCCAGGTGGTGACAGTTCCACAGGGCAGGGTGTTCCATGTGGCTCCTGGCCCTTCTCCTCCTCAGGTCGTGGGCTGGGCCTCTCTAGCAGGTGAGGCGCTCAGCCCGGCACGCAGCATGTCTGCCATGCGCCACTGGTCAGAGGAGGCCCAGGCCAGAGGATTAAGGCCCTGACTCGAGGCCTCGATGGGGAGCTCAAGCACACACCCAGACGTGCACAGGACGGGGACGTCACTGCGCCCACCGTGGGGCTGAAGTGAGAAGGTGAGTTCGGCGACAGGACTGCTGGACACAGGTTCAGCCACAGGGACTCAGCCCCAGAGATGGCCCCTGAGGGCAGGGGCAGGTCTCGCTGTCTGTGGATGTTGCACAGGCCTCCCGGTGGTGCTGCACACGTGGAACACCTGGCAGCGGGCCCAGGAGAAGGGCCCATCTTCTCTGGGAAGTCCTGGGGTATCGCCGATCCTCCTGCTGTCCACCACGTCAACGGAGCCCAGGGACCATCAGGCTGTGACACAGAATGCTGCCTCCCAGGAAATGCTCATCAAACGGTAATGTCTGCAGGATGCTGGTGGCCTTGGCCCCTCCTGGGGAGCGCTCTTGCTCCATCCCCTATAATCCCAGACGTGAGCTCTCTCAGGCTCAGGGGGGCCTGGGAGGACACTCTCAGCCCTGGACAACCAGGCAAACCGGGTTTGGAAAGCTCATGGCTACTCATGTCTGACTCTCAGGCAACCCCAGCAGCTGCCCCTACTTACAGGCTCAGAGACACAAAGCAACCTGCCAAGGTCACACCAGATCATCACTGAGTGGGACTCAGACAGCAGGTTCACTCCTACTCTCCCACCTGCCCAGGGGTCAGAGGCCAGGTCAGCCTAGATGCTGTGTTTCCTTCAGGCACAGGTGAACATCTCTGTTCCGGTCCAACCAACGTGTTTTCCATCAAGGAGGTGGCAGAGAAAAATTTCCTGGCAGAGACCTGGGGTCTCCCCAGACAGGGCCGGTTCACATGCTCCATGGAAAAGTCTCACCTCAGATTTAGCATAACAAAACTTTTAATTTAGATGTTTTCATCTCTCTCTCCAAGTAAAAATAAGTTTAAAATAATGACTGTAATAAATGAAGGTAATTAATTGTAGTTTGTTCCTTTACTGTCTAGTCAGCTTAATTTTACCTTTTCAACTAATAATGAGAAAATAATTTTTGTGCTCGGAGGGTTAATGATATGTAACTGCGAGAACTGCTAATTGCATGTTGCAATCCATCCATCAACAGCCCCATCTGTGCGACTTGATTATGTTTGCTAAATTATTGCTTTGAATTATCTTTCATAAAGCAACTTTTGTAATTAGCGGGGCTTTCGTCTTGCTCTTTTCTCTGTACGCAAGGATATTCAAACTTTGGCCATTTCAAGCTGTCTCCATTAAGCCACCTTCTCTGGCTGTCTTTGTTTCCCTGAGCAGGGGAAATCACAATTGTCCTTTAAGCAATCAAGGCAGAAAGACCTTCCCTGATTCACAGCAGGGCGAATTCACTTCCTCTCCACCCCCTCCCCTGGCCGAGGGGGGGGGAGAGAGAGACTGGGAGAGGGAGAGAGGGGGAGAGGGGAGAGGGGAGAGGGAGGGAGCGAGAGACCCACACACTACAAGCATGTGAGATGAAAGGTGCCTAGATCCTGCATATGCCAGGGCTGTGGCTTGAAGTTCAGAGATGAACTTGACCCTGGTGCCCTTCAACCAGAGGTCGTGTCAGGGATGGAGGTGGGATGATGGGCCATGGTGGCTTTTGTGGGCTGGTTTATGGGACTCCAGACAGTGCTTGCCCCAGGGCATAATACCGGGAGGTGACTGATGCCCATGTGGGAACCCACAGCTCCCACCCAGGCCCCGGTGCAGGGGGTGCAGGGCGAGGGAGAAGCACCTAGCTGGGCCTCATTAAAAATGTTAACATGAACATCATACTTGGATTATAAACAGCCAGGCGCGCGCAGCCTGCTCTGAGCCGGGAAGAGGCTGGTTATTAACACCTTTCTTTCTCTGGTGGCCTTTCCTCCCCTGAGCATGGGGAGGGAAGAGGCAGGCGCAATGGCTTAGTCAATACATCATGAGGAGAGCCGGGGTTTCGGGAATAAAATTCCAGACAAATGCAGTCTTTTTGGTACATTAAAGGGACGATGGAAAGCCCTCTTAAGGAAATTAACAGAGTTCTTTGAAGATGCCCAGCTATTAAAACAGTGTCTGCGCGACAGGCCACGTGGGTTTTGGAAACAAGCGTCTGCTTTGTCTTCCCCTTCAGCTCCACTGGGACTTTCCCACACCAGTATTTATTGAGCACCACTTGTGTACGTACTCTCTGCTGGGGGCTGCCTGGGAGCTGCTCAGTTCTTCGAATCCTTATCAGCCGCCACATTTGCCAGAGGAGGAAAGCTGAAGTTCAGAGAGGTTATGGAACATCCCTGAGGCTACACAGCTAGTTTAAGGAGCAAGGCTGAGAGTCAAAGCAGGCCTGTCTGAGGCTGATTGGCACCTGTGCTTCACGGTCTGCTTGTGGGTCTTCTGAACATGGCCTGTCTTCCTGTCCAACTCTTTCTACTATTTAAAAGGTGACCTAAGTCATGCTTGCATCCTATGAGGACAGAAAGTCACCTTCTTTTGGGTAAAAAGCCTTGAACGGCTAGTAAGGGAAGAGGCGGCACCAACCCAATTATAGCAGGGGCCCAATCAACCTGGCTTGGAGGTCAGTGATAACTGCCCCAGATTTTAACCTCCAAGGCAGCATTCTAGGGCACTATTTTGGTATTAACTTTGTTTTTCCTCAATCACAACACAATGAAACAAGTAAATCCTTACCCATTCTACAAATGAGGAAATGGAGGCACAGAGAGGTTAAACAACTCACCTAAGGTCACACAGCTAGTAAGTGGCAGAGGTGGGATTCAAACCTGGGCTGTTCTTCACTCTCTCAAAACTTTCCAGTGACAGATGTGATATTAACCCCTTTCTGTTCATTATAGCTCAGTCCATCCCTAAGACCTATAGAGGCTATTCCTATCTTACAGATAGGGCACCTGAGGCTCAAAAAAGGGAACTGCTGAGAATGTGACAGTGGCTTCAAGACAGCTCAATACCTGTCTTTGGGCTGGTGGCAGGATCGGCTCCCTCCCTGCTGAGTCTCCTTCTGGGACCAGGAGTTGGTAGCTAGGAACCTCTGTCTTTTGAAAAAAACAAAGTCAGGAAGCACACCCCTGATCATTTCTTCTTTTTGTTTTTGTCTTCTTTCCCTCCTGCCCAGGCACCTCACAACCAAATGAATCAATACTGGATGACCCTATAAATAAATAAGCACATCAGCCCGCCTGGTAATGAAACCAAGAGCTGAGAACATGCGAACCCGCGACACCTGACTAAATCCAGCCACCGCTTACTTTCACGTGGCCTTGGGTGCTTACGTGGTGCTGCAGGTGGCACCTGGTGGACGACAGAATTAACATACACCCCTCAGGCGAACTCAGAGAAAGTCAACCCTGGCCCTGCCAGGAAGTCTGAGATGGGATGCAGTAGGCACGGCCCCTGTGGCTCCCTGGCCACAACGTTAAGAAACAAGGAGAAATTAGGAGGTTCAAGCTCATAGGTTAGGGTTCAGGAAGTCCAGAGGAATGATCGGCTGAGGACAGCTCAGTTGCTGTCCAAGAACTCGGCCTGATGGGTTGGCAGGAAAGAATGTGAGCACAGCGGACTCCATCCTCCAAGAGTGGCCGGCAGAAAGACTTTCTGAGCAGGCTGGCGACTGACTGCACTTCTCTGCAAGGCTGCCTTGGGGAACGGAAGCACAGTAGAGTGCCCCAGGGCGCACAGGTCTCCCAGGACAGACCCGATTTAAAAGTGGGAAACCACACCTGGAAGGCGAAGGATTTGCTCAAGATCACAGATTTCATATATGGCAGAACCAGGGAAGTTGGGCAGTCCAGAAAGAGGGAGGCCTGGAATTCCAGGAACCAGAACAGATCCCGTGCTCCTCACATCCCTTGGGATGGGACACTGTTGGGGGTGGGGCAGAACACCCGTGGTCAGGTAAAAAGACAGCTCTCCAGAACCTGCAGAGGCTGCTGGCTTCTTGGGCAGCTCTAGCAAGGGCAGGAGGGGAGCGGGTGTACTTCTCTGGCAGCCTTGGCCTTGGGTCTTACCTCAGCTTGGAAGCTTTTCAATACAGGAGCCACCATCTCTCTGATTTCCTGAAAGAGAGCAATGAAGAGTTCACCATCGTACCAGTGGGCAGGCCAGCCCTGTTGTCAGGGTTGGTGTTCCCAGAGGTTCTTATTCTGCAGGACTTTTCAGAGCCTTTAATATAAGGCACATTGGGAATTTCTAGATGAGGGGGGAGAGAAGTGGCATTTCCATAGGCATCTGATCACGACATGGTCTTCGTGCAGACTATCTTATCTGCATAATTGGCAGGTTACCACAGGACATTCCGCAGTGGGGGCTGGAGGTGGCACCGCTTCTCCACTTGGGCCCAGTCATCTAGTCCCTTCAGAAACCCTCATCCTTCGAGGAACCCCTCAGAGGCTGCCTCTTCAGGTTGCCATTCCCCAGGCTCCCTGTCCCATGAAGACTGCACTCTGCCTCTTGGAATGTTCCTTCCTGGCCCCTCCTCCTTCCTCAGGGGAATGTGCAGTTTCTGGGATCTCAGTTGGGTCCCCAGAGTCCCTGCAGTTCCCAGCTTAGAGGCAGGGCTACGGGAATGTCGGTGGACACTCTGGAAGTGACCTGTCTTGGCAGGGTGGTGGTGGGGGCCCTCTGGCCACCAGGTGCCTCCTATTCCCTGATCTGAATTTCTTGACTTTTTGAGTGACGTTGAGTTTCCCAGCACCAAGGGCTCCCCTGGAGGACTCCTGTGGCTCTTCTCCCCAGAGTACAAGAAGGAAGCTTTTGGCACCTCTAAATTCCAGCCCTGAAGCCTCCGGTTTCCTCTGAGGTCCACAGGGGATCCTGCACCCTCGTCACAGCTACAGGAAGGTCTGGTGGGAGGAGGAGCTGAGGGAGCTGGAGGGGATGACAGAGGCAGGAGAGGAGGAGAGGGCAGAACACCCGTGGTCAGGTAAAGAGACAACTCTTAATTGAGAAAATGGGTTGTGTTGCTTCCATCCCAGACAAGGGGCCTCTCAGGGGTCCTGGTGCTCCTCCTCTGATTGTTGTCCCCGGGCTTCTCCAAGCTGCTGATCCACTGATGTTAGTCAGACATGAGCAGCGCCCATGAGCCCAGGGGATCTGATCTCAGACACACAGTTAAGTGACAGAAGGTCATGGTCAGGAACCCAATGGCCACCGAGGCCAGGCAGGAAGTGCAGGAGCACATGGCACTATCTAACAGGGTGCAGAGCCTTGGCTCTGGCTCCCAGTTGGGACACATACAGCCTCCGGCCTGCACGATCCACCAAACAGTCTCAAAGACACTGGGAGGCCAATTTGTAGGTGAAATCTGAGATGCTAAACATCGGCAACTTCTCGTAAAGTTTGAAAGACTTTATAGACCAAATAAAACACAAGCGGGTAGGAGATTCCTGGGCCGCTTCAGGACTGTTAGCAGCACAAGGGGACTCTAAAGCCACAGTCCTGGCCCCGGGATCCACAGAAGGGGACACAGAGGCCCAAGAAGGGTTGGCCTCTCAAGGTTACATAACAAGTGGATGGCACGGCAGGAAACGGAAGGCAGGTCCCCACAGGCTCTTCTCACCACCCACTCAATTCAGGGCAGGGGAGTCACAGCCCAGAGCTGTTGGAAGCAGAATCTGAGGGGGCATCGGGCCAAGGCCGACGCTTTCTGGAAGCCCCCTGCCTTGTCTGCTTAACGGGGGGAGCCAGGCAGAGGCACGAGCAGCAGGTGAGCTGGCACCAGCCAGATGATGCTCTTAAATAAGCCTTGGCACGACTCTTCCATCAGGAGAGAGGAGTTCCAAAAATGAGAATTTTCAGAGCCGTGACTATAATAGGAGTGGAAACTTATTCCTAATTACATAATTGCATAATTATGCAGTATTAAAATTATGTAAGTCAAACTCAGAGGCTTAAAACCTGGCCTGGATTTCTCTCATCACCTGGGGGCGCCCACACGGACAGCGGGGCAGGGGAGTGGTGAGGAAGGGAAGTACCCTGCAATGGGGAGAAGAGGACAAGGTAGAGGGTCTGAGTGGACAAGAGGGAGAGGGAGAGACAGCATGTGCACAAAAAAAAAAAAAAGTGAAGGTCTGGGGTTGATTCAGCTCTCCTTCTCAGAGACAGCAGAGTTAGATCATTCTCAATCTGGGGAGAAGATAATTTTAAAGACTAAAATGTGTCGTTCAAAAGGGAAAGGAGGGCACCTTGGCATCCCTCAGGCTTCTCAGTTCCCAGAGTCAAGCCAAAGGCCTGACTTGGCCTTTCTGGGGCCGTGGCTTGGGGACACTCTTAGAACCAAGACCTGTGTCTTCTTGTCCAGCCTCTCTCAGGCCTCCAACCTGAGATCCCTGCTAGACTTGCTCATGGACAAGTTCTATCTAAATCCCAGACCCCTCTCTTGCCTTGAAGAACCAACAACACTGAGGACCTGAGTAAGATGATTTTACAGCCAAGAGGCCAGGCGGAATGCAGGCTCCGCCCACTGCCCATGTGGCCTCCTCTGGCTGGGCCCCCGCCTCCACCAGCAGGACAGCAACAGGAGTCCCTGGGGGTTCAGGTATCCTAGCTGATGCCACACCCTGGCCTAGCCTGGACCCAGCACTCGTGGGCAGGTAAGAGTGCTCGAATGTTAAGCTTCTGCTGACCAGAGGGGGATACCGTTGGCCCTCGGTTGGGTCTGGCCTGGTGACTGCTTCTGTAAAAGCTCTGATGTGCCACATCCCTGCCAGTGTTAGTCAGGGGCCTTATTTTTCCTATTTGTGCTTGTTCCCATCATTTTTTTTTTTTTAATTTGAGAAGCAACAGGGGAGCCTGACAGAGGGAGGACGAGAATTCTCACATTCACCCTTGCAAAGAACAGACTCATGTCTATGCTAGTCCGTTCCTTGGTGGAGGGATGTGGCTTCCATTGCTGGGGACCACTCTTTCTCAGGGTCACCCCATGGCAGCTGAGCTAAAGAATCCTGGTGGCTGTCACTGCAGGGAGCAGGTGGGGAAGGACGGGTGCATATATAGGTGGTGGAGGCAGAGCTCCAGAGATGGCAGGGGGCGTCCAGAGCGGCCATCTCCCCAACACCAACAGTAAAGCAAAATAAATCCAAGAACTCTGGCCAAACTGTCTTTGCTGTCAAGTTCGAGCCCTTGACGTGGGTATGGAGGTGGAGGATGTTTCCTGCAGTCCTGGAAAATGACAGCTTCAAGGGAGATGCAGTTGGCCCTGACTTTAGACAGCGCCGCTGAGCACCATGGTATCCAGAATCATGGAAAGGCTGGGGGCTGTAATTTTTCTTGGTGGCTAATTAGCTTCTTTTCTTGTTAGTCACTTATGTCTACAGTTTTCAAAATACAGTTTGAACAGAGAAAAATCTGCATTCCCACTGAGTTAATTCTATAACAGCAAATATACTGTACCTCAGGTACATTTTTCTTAAATTCCCGGCGGAGTTCAATTAAATGTTTATGAGAATGTTCACTCTCCTCCTGCCGCGCAGACAGCTCGGAAGCGACGGAATTAAGCTCCTTCTGGAACAATAAAAAAATAAAAAATAAAATAAAAATTTAAAAAAAAGAGAGAAAGAATAGGATACCCCCCTCTTTTCTTTTTTTAATCACTGTACAAAACAGCATTCCCGAACAAGTTTTTGTAACTTACAAAACTGAAGTAAAGACAAGATGTTGACTCCTGGCACAAATGAATAATTTACAAAACTGGTATGCAACCAAAAAAATCATATATATATACACACACACACACACATATATAACATCATGCATAGAACCCAGGACCACTTTCTCTTTCTCATTGTAAATTGGGCCAGATCAATAATCTTCCGTCAAGTCGGATGGAGCTGTTCCCCCATTTCTTCCCACCCTCCTGCCCCACCTCTTGTATTTCCAAAGGAGCAATGGCATAAGCTTGTCAGTAACTGTAGAAAACATCTCCAAACCGTGTCAAAATAGTAAAGTGCGGCATATTGTATGGGCACATTATAGTGTGTGAGAGTGCCGTCGACAGCTTTCATATATCAGAGGTGGGAACGGTTCCAACTATGACTTACTTACACTTAAAGGTTCATAAATACGCCTCTTAAGATATAGATGGCTTTTTAATTTCAGTAGATTTTGGAAAAAAATGAAGGCGCCAATAAGAAGCGCGCTGACCTTTTGTGTACCCTCCAGTAAATCATTTAAGGTTCACCACGAGTATAAGACATAATTCATCCAAGGCTCCTGGATTCAGCAGAGAGGGACGGGGGTGCCTCGCCTGTTGTGGGCCACGAAGGTGCCAGACAGGGTTTTATTGGACGTACCAGCGAGGGATAAGAGGGAGGGAGGGTAGGGAAGACGCCGCGGCTCGTGCTCGTCACAGACGATGTCTGCGGCTGTACATGTATATTTGATCGCCTTCTCGAAGCTTTCTTCACTGTAACGGTGGCAGTTTCACGGGGGAGCACAATTCACCAGGAGTTGTCATGGATTTCATTTGCATAATTCAAGAAATGCTCTGTTTATGTGGTCTGCTGCTTTCTGGCACCAGCCTGAGATGGGCTTTTTTTCTGGACCATAACTCGAGAAGCATTTCTGTATATATCACCCGATTATATTTGCAGCAATCAAGCCCCATAATTTCCTAAATCCGGTGGTGCAATAAATTTCTGCAATCAGATTTATTAAAAACACACACGCAGATGCGGGAGTGTATTTCCAGGGTGAACTCTTTAATCTAACATATGTATGATGAGGCCCGGCACCGCGTTGAAAGACCCCATTTGTCATCGCTAATACACATTCATCTTGCACACACAATGAAACACTTTTACCATTAGATAATGAAATAAAAGTACTATTAACCCGCTGCAAATCCTTTTCCCTCTAAGAGACGAAATGCATGGTAATTGTCTTATATCATGTTTGAGAGTTGGAGGATCTGCTCCATGGCAGCTCACCAGAGCTTCATAAACCTGGTATTCCAGCCTGGGGCAACAGTCTCTGGCCCACAGAGCCTTTGAAGAAATCCAGGGAGGAATTTCTGTTCCAGGGAAATGTCTAGCCCCATGGGAATCGTGAGGCTAGACAGGAAAGCCGGGGCAGAAAGCAGCTGTTGGGACGCAGGCTGGGGCCAGCGCTCTCCAAGGTGCTGAGCCAGGGCCTGCAGGAACACGGGGCACACGTGCGTGGTGACTTTTGGCCCAGAGCCTTGGGAAATTCTGAGCCAGGTGAGACAAGGTGTCATGGGGCAGCGGCGGGGGGGGGGGGGTACTTCTGGCTTGTCATCATTTAAAACTAATCATAGTTTTCCAATAAAGAAAGCACAGCTGACCACAACCAAAATATCAAGTGACTGGGGAGATCTATGTTTGTAACAAGAGATCAAGGTTGACAAAACCCAACAGTTGGTGCAGCCAGGTGGACGGAATCTCACTTGGCAGGAAAGAAAGGACTGGAACACCATGGTCAATTTGAGTGGCAGCAGAGCATTCACAGAGGTTTTCCTTGGGTTTCTCTCATTTCTTTTAGAGACAAAGATGTTATTTTTACACTGCTTCTGGAGAAGCAACTGGACCTGGGGTTACCTCACTTGGTTTTGGAATCTTATGGTCCAACACCAGCTTCTTATCTTGGGGACACTGCACCTCTCCATATCCAAGCACCCTACAGAGCTGGTCGGGGATGGACTGAGAGTCCTCATCACAGACATCAAACCTGGAAATCTCAGGGCAGGTAAGTCCAACTGCCGATCCGCTCTACCCAGTCATCGTGCCTGGCTCCTTCTGCCTGTGCCTTCAGGGCTGCTGGGGATACAGCTCTGATAGGCAGGTGTCTGCCATGCCCAAGCCAGGCAGAGGAACACTGGCACCCCTGCCCTGGCCTTTGAGTAAATGATGTCACGATGGACATATTCTCCCTCAACTTTGACTAATCTATGTTTACCCTTCAATCCTGAATTCTCACCACATTCCCATGGTGAACAAAACCAACACCAATAATAATAATCGTGGTAAATAATCATCATCATCATCACAACTACTACTTATCGAGCACTTATACGTACCAGGCACCACACTAAGAGAACAGATGCCATTTCATGTGACACACATGTTAACATGCCTGAAAGCCAATTCAAGCAGGGGCTCGGTTATACATGACAGCCAATTCTAACAACTGAGGTGAGGATGACCTGTGTGGAGGATCATCAAGGCAGATTTTGAAGCCTTGCTCTTCTGCTGCACTTCTCCATTCGCTGGAGGCACTAAGGACCTTGTTTTAAACGATGTGATATAACTGTGTAAGTGTCACGCACAGTTGCAAGTGTCCAGTAAATGCTGGCATATAGCAATCTTAGAGATGCCAAGAGCTCGCCAAACACCCCACTAGATCAGTGATTCCAAGAGTTCTGGGCGTTACAGGTCAGAGCCGCCCCCTACAAAAAAAAAAAAAACCCAAGCAAACAAAAAACCCAAAACAAAAATGGAAGTCGGACAGAAGGTCGCCAAGAGAAGCCATGAAGAGTGACTCCAGTCCACCCTAAGAAGACACAGATATCTGAACATCAACAAAGCAAGAGGGCCAGCGACAGAATTGACAAGAGTCTTTTAAAATAAACACACTTAAAATAAAAAAAGCTCATGGCACTATATTTATTTAAACGAAAACAGAAAAAAAATTCTATTATAAACACAAACCAGCCCTGGTCTGAAGTCAAGTTTTAGAGACATGAGAGCGGACAGCCACATGGCCAGCCAGCAGGGCCTCTCCTAGCAGCACTTGATCCTCTCCCAGCTGCCCCGCCCCCCAGCCCAAGGGGAGCCGTGATTAACACAGCCCCAGACTTTGGGCCGGGCCCAGGCTGGGAGGAGACTCATCTGATTAACCGGCCATCAGCAGCAGACAGACAGCCCGGAGCCCGGCGCAGACCATTCAAATAATGATCATCATAAACAGCCCATTTGCAACTAAAAAGAAATAATTTTAATGAGCTTGAAGCAGATGATAGATGCAGCTGAGGCTTGGGCCAATGTGCAGAGAGAGGGAGGAAGCTGGAATCAGGCCACACCCAGGACCAAGTGTGCAGGAAGAGGCAGGGGCCGGGAGGAAGGCGCTCTGTGGCTGCATGGGTAGCCCGAGGTCCCACAGGGTCTGGCAGGGACCCTTGGAACACAAGAGCCACAGGATCCTGGTTCCCAAACTTGGACGCACAACCCTCTGCATACATTTTGCCATGGTTTTCTACCTGAATTACTATCCACTTTAATATTTATCTTCAAATTGAGTCCTAGTGTTTTCTTTTTGAGATATGCATAACTTTGAGTTCAATGTCAAGTTTGATGAATTTTTACACCCATGTGACTGCTGCTCGGCTCAAGATGGAATGCTGGGAACGCTCAGGTTCCCTGTGTTCCTAATAGTAACCAGTGTTTGATCCTAGCATCACAGTTAAGGTTCACCTGTTCTTGACCTTTGTATAATGACACCTCATCCCGGACCTAAATAGCTGTATTTGAAGAGAAAACTGTGTCACTATGAAATCCTGTGGCATAAACAGATGGTGGCCATTAAGACAAGAGGAGAATGCAAACAAAGCATTGCTGTCTTTGTAAAAGGTTGGCGGAGGTGACCTGACCAGCAACTCAGCCTCCAACTCAGCTTCCGTTTCTGCATCTGTGAAGTGGGGATGGCAGTTTGAGTGGGTGGGGTGCTTAGCAGGTGGCGTCCAGGGTCTTCAGAGTGGCAGCCACCTCCAGTGGAATGCTGGTCTCTCAAGGCGGGGGACTTGGTCTTACTCAGCTTCTAGTTCAATGTCTGGTGATGACAGACGTTCAGAAGCACTTGTGGTGAATGCTGGTGGGAATAAGTGCGAGGCGCTCCTTGAGGCAGAAGTGGGATGGGACTATGGGGTAGCCAAGTGTCCACCTGCACCTCAGGTCAGTGCCGCTCAGGGCTGTGCAGGGTTTGGGGTGTGTCCAGGGCAAGGCGCGGCTCTAGGTGTGGTGGGTCAGGCTCAAGTGTTGCCTGCAGAGGGGCCCGAAGGGTGGCTCTGAGAGGGCCTGGGGGACGACCTGGGGTGGAGGGCACATGCTGGCCTGCCACGAGCAAGGAGACAGACAAGACGGATGGCTCTGCAGCCGCCAAGATGGATAGCTGAGCTGGGCTGAGAGACAGCCGGGGTTACCACAGCCATCCATCACTCGGCGCCGTATGTAAATTCCCAAAGCCAAGATGTATTGGGCCAATTATCTGAGGCCGGGGCAGGGGCGGTGCCTTCCAGAGGGTTCCCAGCCAAGCTGGCCGCACTGCTCTCCAGCAGTGGGTGACGGACAGTTCACACCCATTGAGGGGACACATCCCGACCTCAAGGCTTGGGAGTGTGCTGGGACGCCTTTTTAGCACACTTCCAGGGAGGGTCACCCACACACCTGCCCCGCACCAGGCCCACGCTGACTGACCCACGCAAGTTACTTAGCTCTCCCAGCAGTGCTGGGAGCACGGTGGACTCTCCCAGAAGCTTCTGTTGAGGGAGCAAA